TCAAACTGTTTCAATGTTATTTCAGGACACTAATTTCCACTGCGTGAAACACCTTTTTATCTTCGAAATGGCTTTGAGAAATCCGAAATCGATTGGAATTTGATTGAGCCATTAGCAAAATGAAAATAATCGTTATTATGACATTAGCATTCATTCTTTGAAGGATCAGAGTACTCAAAATTGATTGGGTTGTACTCTGGTAGGATCACATTGTCTTTGAAAAAAACAAATGTCGTTACCATAGCAACTAATTTGTTGTATGCCTCCATATTTGACCATTTGTCGTTGTGTCATTAATTAGGTATCTTGTTTTATTGACTAACATTACCTAAAATGCCTCAAATGAATCATGAACAAGTAGCAAGATTAGTTGCGTTAGTAAACGATGGGCGTAGTAAAGGTTACGTCGCTCGTGCAGTGGTAGTTCATGAAGCAACTGCTCGTAGAGCAATCCGCAAGTACGAACAAACAGGAAGCACCGCTCGGACGGTCGGTTCTGGTCGCCCCCTGAAAACTTCTCCAAGAGAGAGAGATGATTACTGCGGTAAATGTTCAGCAAGATCTTTGCCAAATTCGTGATGTTGCAGTAAGTAATCAGACGGTATGTACACGTCTAAAAGAAGTTAATTCAAAAGCTAGGAGACCTACAAAAAGACCCAAAATATTGCCCGAACATCGTGCTGCTAGAAGAAATTTTATTGAAAATTATGGACAGTGGAATATTCCTGAATGGTCGAATGTCTTGTTTACGGATGAGTCAAGGTTTTGCCTTAACATGGTGAATGGAAGAAAAAGAGTGTGGAGAAGAACTGGTGAACGGTTTAATCATAATTTAATAACAGAATGCGAATGTTTTAATGGTGGATCGGTTATGGTGTGGGGAAGGATTTCAATGAATGAAACTTCTTAGAAGCTACTGGTACTACCTCACAATGGCCTGCGAGAAGCCCCGATATGAATCCTATAGAACATTTGTGGGATGAATTAGGGAGAAGGGTACGTTCTCGCGAGAGGTCTCTGGAAAGTCTCGCAGAAATGGCAGATGCATTTGTGGAAGAATGGGATCGTTTACCAATGGAAACGATAAGCAACTTAATTTTCAGTATGCCTCGTAGATTAGAAGTTCTTTGAGTTGCTAGAGGAGGCAGTACACGCTATTAAGCAGTCATCCCAATTTATAATTTCGTGTTTAATAAAAATGTTCTTTGAAATTATTGGTATCAGTTTATTTCAGTAGAAAATTCATTCTCGATAAATTTAGAAAGTTGGTAATCTGCAAGGATTCAGCGAAAAAAGCTGTAAATCGGAAAATTTTAGAGATAAATCAATGAATAAAGAAACAAAATGCTCGCAAAAGAAGCTTCTTCCGTATAGGGTGCAAGCACTTCCTATGCCATTACTCAATTAACACACAGGGTGAGTCAAAACTTAAAAATAAATCATGGTTCGAGTTATTTCACCACCATCAAGGAGGCTTTGAAGGAATTACCACCCCTTCATTATTTTTCAAAGACAGATGCATTACCTACCAACGAATAAAGAAGAATGAAAATCAGCCTACCTATTTTTTTATTTTTTTTAAGAAGATGGGTCAAATATCAAGTGTGTCACTTTTTTTGGAACTGAGTGTATTTGTTCGATTTCGATCATCCAGTACTCATTCTCCTCAGAAATTAATGTTTGAAAATAACATCGGAACAGGTTGAAAAAATTCTGAATTCCTCATTCGCCAGCGGTTTTTTCACGTCACAAATGTTTGGAATACTCCACCATTTTGATTTTCTCAATAATGGAATTTTCAAATATCGCACTGTATACAATAGGAAAATAAAAACTCCCGTTTCATTGTGAGCACCCAGAATCAAGAGGCATACACCCAGTAGAAGCTTAGAAAACATCACTGTGTTTATCCCTTGCTCAAAATATTTTAATTCATAATGCAGTGCAGTCATTTTGGCAAGGTAATGTCTACAGAGTAAACACGCCTGAGTAGTTAGAACATGCCTAAGCTTGAAGCAAGCAGGCAGACATAAACTTGTTCAAATTGTGTGCCTTCCTCATTATATCATCTGTTTGGAACCAGCCGTGTGTCTTTGAATAAAGTCAAAGAGTTCTGAGAGCTCGAGATGAAAAATCAGAGAAACAGAGAAACTCACAAACGTTCAGTAAACAACTTTCTATGAAGAGAAATCGATAGAACGCTTGGAATCAGAAAAATTATCAGAGATTTCATACATTTCGTCTCAAAGGAAAAAGAAGTAATTATGAGAAGGGCATTGCCGATAAAACTACGAGTCATCAGGAATATACGAAGGAACATCAAACTATCTGAAAAAATAAATACAAGAAGTTCGAACTCATTTTCACACAATGTTCATAAAATGAACAACAATGGAAAATTTCGGGAGAAAAACGACTACTTTCTTGGCTAATGCAACGCTGAACATTGAATTATATCCTCTCGCAATCTATGCATCAACTCGTATAAACGAATACTGCTACAAGTGATTCTTTCCTGAATGCCTATTGAATTAATTATATGAAAGACATTTTCGGCCGATATCCAGAAATTAGAATTTATAACTCCTTTCATAAATGAAAATTCTCTACTCTGCCAGGAATCAAACCTACCAACTTTTTGGCGTTCTGATTGATAGTCAAACGCACAACTACAGCGCTATTCTACCGTTCTGCATTTGAAGGCGACTTTATAAAAACTTTTTGCATTTAGGATTTGACATTCAAACTTGAGAGTCTTGAGTGGATTCAGTTATGAGACAAATTAATATACATGTCTTTCATTACTGACATCTAGTTTCTGATACAGAACCTGATTTTCTGAGTTGAGTAAGATAGAAACTGGTTGGAAATCAAAATGTCATGTTCTGATACCATTCTATTGATTTATTTCCCTGAAATAATGCCCACATTCATCATGTCTCTACATTATTTAGATAGTATAATCACTATTCCTTGCCTAACAGAAACTGGCTCACTCATTTGATCTTATGCCAAATATGTAGGCAACAGAGAGTTAAGGTGACATTCTAGTGTATCTTTGAAGAACGGTTCAGTATCCATATTTTCTATCAGAAGCAAAACAAATATTCATGAATAACAACCCAAGATATTTCGAATGATTTTTGAATGGTGGGAAAATGAGATGTCAATTTTGGATGCGCACTCCTTATTCCATTTATGATCATTTGTCAGCACTTCTTGAGTGAGAAATAGGCCATCTTCTCAAATCTCAAATGTAAAATCATGAGTTTCAAATGGATATTTCCATGTTTCATCTGTCATAAGTGATAACCTCAATTGTTAAGTGACAAATATTGGATCTTGTGTTTTTTAATAAAGTGGCCCTAAATATCATCATAAAAGTCATCAATTTGATGACTTTTATGATGATAAAAAATAAGCAAGTCGACTCATGAAATAGGTATGAAAGAAATTCGGTAGTCAATCGAAGAATCGGATGTTTTTCCTTGTTCATCGTATGTGTATATATGGATAATTTCCGTACACACATATGATTTCAAAAACGGTGTAGTATCTCGGTTGACATATGAGTTCAATTTGTAACCAAGTGATAGCTGAGGACCCGGGTTCGAATCCCGTGGCAGTCGTCCTTTTTTTTAATTGAACGTATCGGACACATGTACAGGCCCATCAATGTTCACAGAAATTTTGTTGTTCTGGCCAATTCTGATCAGCATATTATGAGCCAGCATAAGGCCAACCAAAATTGTTTGCTGGGTTTTCAATTTGGCAATATCAACACATTAATTATGATTTATAATAATTGTTCAGAATGTTTACCATTTACTTCAATGCAAAGATTTAGGCATATTTCAAACTGATAGACAATCATTATGGATTATTATTGAATCGTCAACTAATCACAAATTATAAATTTCCAGACATTCCGAAACTGAATAAAAAACCGAGTTGAAAACTTCTTCAATTATTTGCGTATTTGGAAAATGTAAAGAGCTCTGAGAAGAAGACGGTTTGCGGCAGTGAGCTAATTTGGGTTAATATTTCAAATTAATGAAATGATTTTTTTTTATGAAATAGGCCCATTGTGCGTTGAGAAAAGGTTCATTCGGGTTCCGATCTCAGAACTGTTCAATAATCATTCTCGAACTGCATAGAACTAATGCGCAGTCGTTTCGAATCCTAGGACTGTTTCAGAACGGTTTACACATTTTGAAAACCCGAACGCGGCAGACGAGAACCTCTGAGAACATAACCTCTATTCAGAATTTGCGAAAAAAACAAAATAGTTTGGAACCTGTATCTTTATTAGAATGATGTTCTGGAGCTTCAAATTCTCCTTTAAGTCTATTCACAATATCTATTGAAACCCTCTGTGGAGAAATGGTGAATATATTCCATCATATCATTCAAAGCTGGATTTCAAGCTGAAATGTTCAATGAATTGTGTATCTGATTATAATGGCCAAAGTCTCCCTAACATAATCCATTTTTCGGTTTATCTAACAGAAGTTCGAGAATTATCTGATTATGTACAATATTTTCAGCAACTTCAGCAAGTAACAGTAACTTCTTCACCACTGCTTCCAGAAGATGAAGATCTACTACTAACAAATGAATGTACTAACTTCAGAACAATGAGAAAATATTGGAAAGAGCAATAAACAGTAGAATAAACAAAAATATATCATTATGACGTTACGCTACAACAGACAGAATCGAACACTAAATGAAAAGAGCATGCGCCAAAAATAATTCTAGAACGGTTCATGCTCGAGAGCAGGTACTGGTTTCGGATAGTTCTAGGATCTTCCCAGGACGATCCTGGAAAAACCCGAACGCGTAAAGAGACAGTCCTAGAACAGTTCCACAAAACCCGAACGCGACTGATTCTACTGCGCAAGCCCCTAACAGTTCTAGAACAGTAATAGTTCGATCCCGAATGAACCTAAAATCCTAAAAATGACTGGTTAACATGTCTGAACTTGCGCTTAACTCACCAGTTCTGACCAGTTTGAAGGACACCGCATTATGCGTCTTCAGTTGTTCGTTGTAGGCGGGATGGATGAGGTCCCTGAGAGGAGCTTCGTTCGCCGCCATCTTGATATTTTCGCCCAGCGAGAGGTACGTTCTCTTGTTTCGCAGGCTGCTGAAGAACGGCCTCTTTCTTGTCGGCGACTTTTCTACGAAAAAAACTATTATATGCAAACAGAAAAGGCAAAATTTTCTTGATGAAACATTCAAAATTGATCTTTATTAAATGAAGTCCGTGGTAACTCAAAGTGGAGTGGAGTTGATACAAGGTAAAAAATTTCGAGTTGATTTCAACTCCAGGTCCACAAAAACTTTGTGTCAATCAAGGTCCACGTCGAATTGAGTAACCATTTTATAGTTACCCTTTGAATTATATCGGCACAAAATGTCTAAGAAGTATGAAAAATTGTTCGAGAAATCATAAACACAATTCTGACTGAAATTCATCAATATTAGAGTACCTACGTGATGAAACTAATTGTGCATTTTCATTTGAACGAGAGAAATAACCCAATAGGATTTTTCACCATGTAGATGAAGAAACCTAAGTCCTGTTTGTCTTTGCTCTACCAGCTGGAGTTGATTTTTTCTATGGCTTTCTCTGTTTACATCATGTCATGAACAGAGACAACTATGGGAAGATAATAAACTTTAGCGAGTTTAGCAATACGAACGAACAGGAATCCAAAGTCACAAATTTCATTTGAAAGATCACTTATACAGTGTCATTCATGAAGTCGAAATCATATGGGAAGCACTTTAAATAATAATTCATTTTGAAATTCGACTTGGGCGTTGAGTTTTGCATGAAAAATATGGAGAATTGTTCAGAAAGAGATTCTAAAATTTGCCTACTTCAAGAATCATGGATTGTATCAGAACAGAGGTTATGATTATGAATCACTTCTCAGAGAATTCAATTTTATTTCGTTGAAAAATGATCAGGAAATTATAGACCTCATTTTCATATACGAATTGATACATAACCAAATTGACTCATCTGTTTTGCTATCATCACTCAATTTCAATATACCTCGTATAATTTCACGATCTAATATCACTCTCCATATAGATGTATCAAATTCACATCATCATTATCATCGTCTTCTCACATCAATGTCAGTTATGATAATCTTAATGGTGTTGATTTTTTTTTTCCAAACTCTTTCACAATTCAAAAAAACTATATCAACCTCATTGGGTAATTAATTTTGTACAATGCTTATCTATTTGTTGTGAATTATCTTCGTTTTCAGTAGTGTGTATCTTTAGCATTATAGTTCTTATATAATTTATACCTGTGACTGGACTTTGCCTTCAGGATGTAATAGATAAATAAATGAATAAATGAATGAATAAATAAAAAAATAATCGGCTTTATCCTGTTCCTTACTTTCAATTACTAATTACCGACAAAAATATGATTCTCTTCAGGAAAAATAATCTCCGTTTCAAATTTCCGTTCTGCTTCACGCAGTATCGTCTATCATTCAGGAGCGAAAATCATTTAAATCGATTCCTCCAGTGTACTAAAATGATGCCAAAGTCATTTATCATAATATCATAAAATTTCTTCACATAATATCCAAACAATGTTTAGAAAAGGTTTTTCGAAGTTTCAATTAGAAGACATCAAAACGTATCAAGAACTAAAAGTTGCAATAGAATGTTGTTAAAATTGGAACAACTTTCGTTCGTTAAGTTCCGAAATTCGAACAAATGAGTCAATTTTCATCAATGAACTTCAAAAAATGTTATTATTGACATGTTCCGGAAGTCACGTGACACAGACAAAATGAATCATCATTGAAAGTTTTCACCATATGATGTTAACTTTATGAATGACACTGTAGAAGCCCATCATCAGCCGATCACAAGATTTTAGTCATGGAAATGAAAAAATTGGCAAAACCATGATTGTCTGTAATAAATAGTTGTGTTTTTTTATAAAAACACTAATATTCAGAAATGGGTCGGGTTTTGGAAATTTTCTAAGGAACCACGTTCCATTTATTTGCCAATGGTGCCAATCAAACATCTAAATACCAAACTCGAAAGTTTAATGGGTTATCAGAATAGACCCTTCAAATGATAAAATCATGTGACTTTATTTTATCATTGCCAAACTAAATATTATTGAAATCATGACCAGGTTGAAATTTTAACTATGAACCTACTACGACACTTCTGTTACCCATCAATTTTAGATTTTTATTTTTAACCTGCTCAAAATAGTGTCATAGTGAAGCTGACATGTTTTCCATCAAAAATCGTTGATCTATAAAATTTCTGGTCTGTGAATATGTTCTATGATCTCCTCATTAAAATTCCCTTCTTACGAAATCTCTTGAAAATTTTACACCTAACATTTTCGACCAATCATAAACCTGTATTTTGTATCGTTATCATGGCAATTGGCCACATTTCCGGAAATTCTTTCCTCTTCCTTGAGGGAAGGAACATGAAGTTACACTATAAAGTTTTTGACGTTTATAGGTAAAATGACATTTGCATTCAACTCCAGACTAGGTCAAATTGATTCTAGAAGTTGAAAAGTTCCTTGTAAGAAAATATATTCCTACCAACTTTATCTGAATGAATTTGTGAAAAACTGAGATTTATATTCATTCATCCATTCATCTGAAGACGTTAAATCATATTGTAATATTCCTTATGATATTACTAGAGTAAATTTCATTGATGATGAAAAGTACATGAGAAAATATATTTCTATCAACTTTAGCCACATGATGTTGTGATTGTGTCAATGCTACATACTATTCAGAGTTCCTTCTTACAAAATATATCTCCACCAACTCTAGTGGCAAGAATAATTGGTATGGATTGAATAACCACTAGCTGCCTTATTGATATTTTGCGTATATAAAGTCGGTTGTTTTGTATTTCATCCAGCGAAATGTTACCCTATAGTGATTTTATAATAATAATTTTGGTGTGAAATTTTCTCAACGAATACCACTCTAGCTTCAATTAGAAACACGAAGTTCTTCCTAGAACACGAATATTCAGCGAATTTTCAAAATCTACGTGTTCTTGAAAACAGTTCCAGTAATAATTGAAGCTCCTGTGTATGAAAAGTGACAATTATGCTCGGATTTATAAAGATATTGTATCTATATCAAATCAAGAGAAAAACATCAATATTATTATCACTTCGACGAAATTTCGGTTCATTGGAGTATTCTAGAATTACTATTATCATTTTCATAATCATAGAATTTGAAGAAGTTGATGATAATGCCGTTTATTCACCATCGTTGACAAATTTCTCCGATAAAACGAAGTTTCAGTTTTAGACACGGTCTGAAACTTGCTCGCCTATGTAAAATGTATCCTTGGCTACTCTAGCTGATCCAGATAATCCTGGAATTCAGCAGGATTACATAGGAACGTAATTGGATAAACAGCACCCTCGGTATAACGTGTTCGGTATATCGATTGTAATGTATTTCCCTTCGAAGATCCGAATTTCATTTACATGTTTATGTACTAACTCTCAAACTAATCGATATTTTTTCTATTTTTGAAAAATGTTTTCTCAGTGATATGCTTGAAATTCAGACAATTCTTGAAAGTCATGCCCATCAAAAATCTCTTGCTAACCAAAAAAATGATCTCTCGACATAATTCTTCTCAAATTCTACTAGAACCATCATCCTGATGATTCTACATTTCTCCACAAACACTACTCGATACTAATGATTCTAATCCCCAATGTCATAAATCAAACAATTAATTCATAATATGCAGTAGTATATATAGTATTGATATTCGACATATCAAAGCAAAAATGTATTACTATGTGTTGATTGCAAACTAATTAAGATATTTGTATGATGCGTGATTTCCAATTTCACAGTTTTGTTTTAATAATTGATACGTCTGTAGCATTTGTTGTTTTTAATTATGTCAGTATGGTATCAACAGAAGCCGAGAAGTTTCTAGAATACAAGAGAACTGGTAAATCCCAGTTTTTGGAGCGTACTCCAAGCGAAAATAAACTTATATTTTCGATGAAAGTTGAAGTTTTAAAAGAGTGAAGTTATGAAGTTTTCAATTTTATTGTCTTTTCTGCATTCATTTCCCCTAAATTGAATGAGTGAATTGTTGTTTTTGGATGTATGACGAATGGATATTCATCATACAGGACGTGCATACATATTTTCATATGAAGAAGAATACAAATTCTCCACTTCAGAAGAAGGTTTTGGTATCAAATTCTTATCGTGTGTGTTCAATAGGTATAATTCATTGTTCGTCGTGGCACATAGCCAGAAAATTAGTTGTTTTCTCTTGAATAAACCGAGAGAAAATTTATATTTTCATCACATAGAGAATGCAAATTCTCATTGTATTTTTTCATGTTCATAATTCATCTGAGAAGTGTGAATTGTTATTTATCAACATAAAAACACATGAAAACTGGGTACAGAATATTCATCCATATATCTTTTCTACACTCTACCCTCGAGAAGCGACAACGCCGCATTCCTTATAGCATTGCGTAGCAGTGTTGCCACAGTAGTTGTTTGCTCTTTTGAAGGATAGTTCACACTATTTTCGTAATTTTCATGAGATTTCTGTGGAATTCACCGTGGGTGGGTTAATCAGTACCAAAAAAGGAGCCAACTCAGACGACCAAAATTTTTTTACCGTTCAGATATCTATTATTTTACCATATTCACATCAATAGAACAGTTCTACCAATACGAAATCAATATACCTCGTTAACAAACAGGTCCCATTGGTATTTATTCTCATTGTCACTGAACAATTGGAAAAAAAAACAATGAATATCAACGAACTGGTAGTGTCTAGGATCAAAGTCCAGATTATGATTAGCATTGGTAGGCCTGTCGTGAATTTAGACAGAACACAGAACATGAGAATTAACAATTTGACTTGCAGTGAATGATACAAGTTACAGAAAATAAAAGTGATGTATCTTTATTCTAACAACACGAGGTCTAAACGAAATGAATAAAAATTATATCAAACATTCCTACAGTAACTAGTTAGGAAAAGCGGCACAAAAAGCGTTACAATATTTTATCTAATTTTGATGAGGAATTTCGGTTGAATAGATGGGATTCTAACCTTCATTTTCCCGCGCTGTCATTCGGTTAAAAATGATATTTCGTCTTGACTCGGAAGATATGTATCTACCATATTCGGTTATATAAACAAATAATCATATAATAATCAGTCACACAATTGAATGAACAATTATTATAACCTTCAATTCTACTACCAAATAATCACATTTGATGATCACGTGATATATGCCGTCAGATGGCATATTGCTCAGCATTAAAACACAATTATGTACAAAATCAAATTGGCAAGTTGACTTCACCCAGCACTTTGACGTATCCGTCAAATAATAAGAATAGTCACAAATCACCGACGGAATTCACGAAATACACTCCTTTGATATTTTTATTAGTAGAAAAGGGCTGATGCAAGTTCAAATTTTCCAAGTGATATTGAGGAAGCACCAGAAAATGCACTGTTCCCTTCGTATTTCTAAACTGGTGTTGAAAAGAACATTTCATCACCAGTTGAGTAATATTTTACTTTACACCAATGGTTACGTGGAGTGAGGTGTTGAAAAACTTCAGTGAGTAGTTGAAACTGCCAAATCACATGTCAAAATTATAAATATAAAGTCTAATGATTGCATTGCATCATCTTGTGATGAATAAGTCTATGAGGTTAGCACAAAAAAATCTTAGGAGCTAAATTAGTAGTGAACTCTATTACCAAAGCCACAAACACTTATTAATATCAAACAAGCCATTAATCACTCAACAGTTTGCTCAACCTTCACCTGATTCCTGCTTCCTGACCAAATTCGAATCCGATCCAACCCCAGGCCGCCTCACAGAATTCACAGCCAACTTCCCCGGACTCGATTCCTGCCTGAACAACACGTCAAAATCGAAGGCGGTCCTCTCACAGCCTAGAGTCCTAGGACTAGAAGATTGCGCGCGAAAAAAACGAAACACAGGCGATTTATCCCGCTTCACAGGTTTGTCACTTGTCGATTTCACGTCCTGCACAAGGTCACTTCTCGTGTTGATCAGATCACTCCGGGACAAGTCTGTTCCTCTGCCCACTGTCAGATAGTCAGTGTAGGAAAGCTTCCTGTCAGTAGGAAGTCTCAGGCACTTTTTATCCTTATCTTTTTTTCTCTCTGGGCGTACTGGAAGAGCCTCGGGAGGTTTTAGGTTAGAGCTACCGCTTGAGCGCTTACTAGATCCAGGCGTTGCTTCAGGAGCACTCTTCCTGGATGTGATATCTTCCTTCCGCTTGCCAGATGTAGACGACGCTGAGCTGTGCCTGCTAGACTTGCTGGATTTGTTGCTATTGCAGTTGTAGTCCCTTTCCAATGTTGCTGAATTGTTTCTAGGTTTGTTCCCAGGTTTTGGCCTTTCTGAAGTCGCTTCAGCCGTTGGTTGGTGGTCTGGGTGTGCGTTTGGTTGTGGGGAGGATGAAGGTAAGTATATGACGCGACCATACGACAGACAGATTATTTCATCTGCCGGAGATATGACATACATGCTCTGTGAGGCAGCCACATGTCGAACTCCTGTTGGTCTGGCTATTGAAAGGGTTCTCTACTTTGATTTGGTTCATGCGTGGCGTTTGGTGGTTCTCTTGTGATGTGAAGGGGCTGTTACTAACGCTAAATTCCGAGGAGTTGTCTAGAACCTACAACATCAGAGATTGTATTTTAACTTATGCAGAAATTGTTCTTGAAGTTAGAATTATATCTTCTACAGAGCCTGGACTCTAGATATGTGTTCGTGAGGCGACCATACGACAGACAGACTATTACATCTGATGAGAATATGACATACATGCTCTGTGACCGAGGAGTTGTCTAAAACCCACAACATTATGGTTTGTATTTTGACTGATGCAGATCTTGTTTTTGAAGTTGAAATTATATCTTCTATAGAGCCTGGACTCTAGATAAGTGTTCGTGACGCGACCATATGACAGACAGACTATTTCATCCGATGGGAATATGACATATATGCTCTGTGAGGCAGTCATATATCGACTTCCTGTTGGTCTGGCTATGGTAAGGGTTTTCAACTTCGATTTGATTCATTCGTGGCGTTTGGGGGTTTTCTTATGATGTGGAGGAGCTGTAACTACTGGTAAATTCCGAGGGGTTCTATAGGACTTACAGAATCAGAGATTGTGTTTTTATCGATGCAGATCTTGTTTCTGAAGTTGAAATTATATCTCCCATGAAGCGAGGACACATGATACGATTTCGTGACGGGTCCATCAAACAAACTATTACATCTGCCGGAAATATGACATACATGCTCTGTGAGACAGCCAATATCAAACTCCTGTTGGTCTGGCTATGAAAAGGGTTATCAGTTTTGATTTGGTTCATGCGTGGCGATTTGGGGGTTCTCTTGTGATGTGGAGGGGCTGTTATCAAGGCTGAATTCCGAGGAGTTGTCTAGGATAACAAAATTAGAGATTGTGTTTTAATTGATGCAGATCTCGTTTTCGAAGTTGAAAACATACCTTCTATAGAGTCAGGATAGATACCATACGCAGACAGACTATTCCATCTGCCGGAAATATGACATACATGTTTTGTGAGGCAGCCATATGTCGAAATCCCATTGATCTGGTTGTGGAGAGGGCTTTCAACTTTGATTTGGTTCATGCGTGGCGTTTGTCTAGGACCTACAAAATTAGAGATTGTGTATTGATAGCTTCAGACCATGTTTTCGAAGTTGAAATTATATCTTGCAGACTCTAGAACCAGAGCTGTAGATAAGTTTCCGTCCTTGTTCGTTTATAACGTACTTGATTTTTATCTACCTCTTAACACAGTTAAATACAAGTGAACTCCCATAACTCATCTATAGCCTATAAAACGAGACAGGCTATATTATTCGGCACGATGAATTTCTTGATAGAGAGATAGGAATAAGGAAATGGTTTTCCGTTGGAAGGAAACGTTCGGAAAACTCGCATGTTCATTACATCTCTCGTAGACGCTATTTTCGTGTGTGACAAATATAGGGTGGAACAAGATAAAGAATGAGTTTGTCACAGAGCAACATGAACACATTGTTAGTTAGAATGTATAGGCATTATTTTCGAGGTTATACCTGGATTGAATGTTTCTCTCTCCTTGTATAACTTCACAGGAACCATTATAAACACCTAGATTCATAGATCGTATGCCTTTTCATACCACTGGAGTTGCGTGACGATGGATTATATAGTAGATATCGCGATTAACATACCGTTTTTTCACTCTATTATATACGCGATAAGAATTATTTACTTCAGGCCACAACATTCTCATAGCTTTTTGATGATATAATATTGCTGAAATATTGATAAACAGTTTGAATTAACAAAAAACGGATGTAATCGAAGGCATCAATATGTTTTGTATAGTGCTTTGATAAAATATTTACCATGCATATTGGCCATTATGTCATTATAAAAATGGATATACAATCCATAACATTTAGTTTTATCACGGAGAAAAATCAGTTTATACGGTCTGATTGACGCATCTGAACATTATTTTCGTTTGCTGGAAATCTAATGTCAATTGTTGTTGAGTTCAATAGTCATCTTTCTTCATGAATTATTTTTCAGTGGGATTTTTTGAGATATTTATTCAAAGCAACTCGTAAAACTGATGATTGTCAATCGATTCTGTATTTTCAACGTTGTGCCAATTTTCATTCTATATTTAGACAATTTGAGAGCGATTGAGATGAAAATGTGTTCTACTTCTAGTTTTCCTTTCTTCTGCGGTAGGTAGTCGCTTGATGTAGACTGAAATAGAACACTGTTTATCAAACAGTCCTTAAACTAACTAGCGAGACCTGAAGACTTCCTGATTACCCTGGCAAATACATTTAGAGCTCTATATACAGTATGTCCAAGATGATGTCTATCCAGTGGCGGATCTAACATGAAGCAAACGACGCATCGATGAAAATGAATAATAAAATAAACTCGTTAATGTAAGAAGAATCGAAAATTAAATTTCGAAAGAGACTGATGTTTTTCCAAATTTAAATATTGTATCAAAAGTTGTGAGCAGGGAGGTCATTTCCCAATCTCACGATTATTAAAAATATATACAGAACTGTTATAGCGGAAAAAAGACTATAGTACTTAGGTATTTTGTCAATTGAAAATGACCTAAGTGCTTCAATAGCATTTGATGATACAATAAAAGGCAATTTGGAAATGCTAAGGTACGCCGGCCGAATTTTTGATGAACTAGTATCAAAACTTTGACCTGTGTTGTTCAAAAACTGTCATGGTATCTTTGTTTATTATTATAGAATGATCTATTCTTTGTTTAAGTTCTGTGTAGTAGAGTAGGATTTCGATCTCGTACAATTTTATTGATTGTGAAATTATTTATTTTCAGTTCGTTGAGTATAATGAATAATTTTTTGAGTTTGTATATTTTTAATAACTTTGACGTTTCTTTTTCGTTTTTATAAATTGGATATTTCACTTGTTGATCTTTTTGTATACGAACTTAAGAAGATATCAATAAAACATTTCGAAATCTTGGTGGAATAATTTCCGAACATGCATTGAAAGACATTCACTCAAATGTCCAACAATAGGACTTTGAATTATCAAAGGCTTGTTACTTTCAGTCAATTTTCGTTTATGGACTGTCTCAGAAGCAGTGATATAATAACATGAGATTTTTCTATAGATTGACGATCCCATCTTGACACGGTGGAAAATATTAATATGAAAATAACCGAATATCACACAGTCTATTTATAAAAAATGTTTACCTACCGTACTAAATCGAGATACGAAACATCTATTTTTGTTCTGGTCCCGAGTTCGAATAATACCCGGTATATATTCTCAGGAAGAGACTATACCTATAGATGAGGAGTTTGATGTATAGACACCAGCTGCCACTGATTTAAGAGTCACTTCAACTTTTTATTCAACAGCTGATAAGTTGAATGTATACAGGGTGATCCAAGGTGGATGGCCTATTAGAAGTATCTAGAGAACGAAACGACAGAACATTATGAAAATTGAGATGCTCTGATAATTGAACATTCTCTATCCGTCTGAAATATTTTCATCGATACAGTGTTGCCACTTCTCACAGAAACAAGTAGCAACTTTGTTATTTCAAATAGAACACCCTGTATTTTATTATATTTTCAGATTCTTCCTGAAGCTCTTCGAGATACAGGGTGATCAGAATTCCGAATCTGGAAGCACCCTGTATTTTTTCCAATTAAATTCCAGTAGATAGTGAATCAAAAGTTAAGATAGGGACATGTAATCCGTTTTGACCGATAATGACCGATATGAATTTGTTTTTTAGTAGTTAATGATATGTATTCACTATCAACCCTTTCAAGTTAACCCGTTACACTGTATTTTAATGAAAATATCGTGCCTATTTTCCAAAAATGGAGGTTTAATGGAGGTATTATGGTTCGAATTTTTTCTTCAAATTGCATATTTGAATCTTCTTTATGTATATATAGATGCCACCAGTGAAATAATTCCGATCCACCCCTCCAGAGGGGTAGTTTATTTCTGCAGTTTTTCAAAAATCCATGCTGACCGACCATTTCCGAGTAGAATTTTTTCTTTAGATTGCATATTTGAATATCTTATGAGGATATAATATGGATACCACCAGTGGAATTATCTCGATCCACCCTTTCAGAGGGGTAGTTTATTTCTGCAGTTTTCCAAAAATCTTTGCTGACCGAGCATTTCTGGTTCGTATTATTCTATCAAATTACTCATTCGGATTTCTCCTATAAAATTATAAATGCCACCAGTGGATCTATTTCGATCCACCCTTTCAAAGGGGTAGTTTATTCTTGCTGTTTTTCGAAATTCCTCGCTGACCGAACATTTATGGTCCATATAGATGCTACCAGTGGAATTATTATGATTCACCCCTTCAGAAAGGTTGTTTATACCCGCAGTTTTTCATAAATCCTTGCTGACCGAGCATTTCTGATTCGAATGTTCTCTTCAAATTGCACATTTGATTATCTTATTTAAATATATAGATGCCATCAGTGGAATTATCTCGATCTACCCTGTCAGAGGGGTAGTTGATTTTTGCAGTTTTTCAAAAATCCTTGCTGAATTTGAATTTTTTTTTCAGGCTCTCTGATAGGAAAATTCTTAAAACGCAGTGATATTTTGGGGCAAATCATATGATTTGTGCGTACTACACATATTATATTGAAATAATATTCTTATTTTTTTGTAATTGAAACGGGGAGAGAAAATCCCAAAAGATTTGGAATAATCACTTATCACTTGTTGAAATAAGACATCATCTTTATGTGTGTGTAGATAATTCGATTATTGCCATTTCTCAATGCCATAACAATGTTTCCTGATTATCCTAACGATGCAGAGAAATGTTTTCCACATTAACGTTTCAGAAACGAAAAATATTACATGATCTTTATGCGAGTCCTTCAAGCAGGTGTACGAAAATAAAGTTGGACTATTTTTAAACCGTCAATTTGTCAACCACTCTAACCACTAAACGGAAGCGAATGAAATCGAATCATACGAATTGTTATCAAAAAAAATATAATCGAAAAGTGTTTCATAGAGGGTAAAATGCCGATGAACCTAGAACATTCGCAAATATGCGTAATATTATTTTCTCACCTCCAGCTACGGTTATTTAATCTTTTTCAAGGCGTAATATAATTTATGTATCAAGGGCATGAAATAGACTTCTATTTTTGTTATGTTCTGGTTGACACGAAAAGGGATGTCCTGTAATGTTCAGAGAACATCGTGAGAACCAAGGGGAAAAAGGTAGGAATTGGTGATCTTCTCAAATTTCTGGAGGTTATATGCCTCGAGGAACACCTCCCTTGGCAATGTGTTCCAGAGCCTCGTTGTTCGTTGGATGAACGAGTCTTTGGAAAGGGATGTTCTGCAGGTCTCCAAAGTGACCACGAAGGGGTGCGAAGCCTCAACTCGACGGGTTCATCTCGCGGGGACTGCCACGGGAAATACAATGGGGGAGACCACTGATTTTTTAAAATGACATTATCGTGAACTCTATACTGAAAAACTACCAGCGAATTAATTCTGAATTTTGTCATTCATGCTAAGACGATGAAAATAATAAATTAGAATAGTCTATTTCAAAACACACAATTCCTTCGCCATTTGAAATTTCGTCAATTCATTGGTGTGACTGGTGCGACGTCTTATTCCCAACACGCCTATTGTCCTTGAACTGACCAATCACACTGCAACACTGCAGAATGACGAGGTATCCGAGAGAGATAGCTACAGTTCGGGACTAATACGTCACGACTCCACCATCATATTTGGCTGTTTGAAATATCGAATTAAATATGCTGATTTCAAAACGATATAGATTCGATTCCCTTCAACTTTAACTCATAATATTGATTGTACATTAAACTCAAATCATAATTCGTCGATTGAAAGAGGTTTGCACGGAATTTTTCCCTCAGTGGTCTTCCCCATTGTTGATATTCCAGAAGAGCATCGTCCATGGAAATATCTATAAAATAGAGCCAGATCACCAACTTTTCTACGGTGTTCCAGAGAAGTGAGTGAGTTTGTATCAGTCACGAGACGAATTGCCCTGTTTTGGAGAGAATCCAACAGATTCAGGGTATGTTTGGGTGCTGAACTCCAAATATGGAAACAGTATTCCAGGACAGGTCGGATCAGTGCCTTATAGATCATAAGCAGCTGACTGGAAGTGAAATAGCTCCTGGCCCGAAACAGAAAACCAAGTTCTTGGGATGCACCTTTAGCAATTGATCTCACGTGATTGCCCCAAGAAAAGTTATTATTGCTGATAGTAATACCAAGCATCAAAATGGATGTCTTCAAAGGTAAGGTTACTCCCGACAAGCATATGTTGGGCAAAGTGAGATCGGCTTTTCTAGAGTTCTTGTGTTTTGTTTGCGACCATAAAAGCAAGTTACGCCCGAAATATATACATCATTTTATGCTCGGTCGGTATAGTATTTGATTTTCAATTCGACGTTACCATGGTAACTCAGTCAATTTCTTGAATTAGGAAGAGAGTAATATACTTGCAGTCAATTAATATCTTAACAGATAACTCATTTCGATAATATCATTCTCCATCTGAGAAATATCCGGAGAAATATAATATATGATTTTTGGGGAAAGACGATTCTTGGGTATTTGGATTCGTGGTAAATAATAATTATATATTATATCATTTGAGAACGTTCTTCTTTTTTAAAAATTACACGATTTTCAAGAAAAAACATTGAACACGTTTTCACGATTTCCTCATCCTCCAATGCAGAATTATTATATTCATCATTATGAACAAAAAGAAAAACAAAACCATAGAATAATGCATAAAAAACGATAGCTCTGGTTGAGACAAGTTTTTATAAAAAAAATTCTCATGTATAACCACAATTATTAAAGATTGAAAAAGCCTATGGCCATAGGCGAAACGTTTCAAATGATATAATATATAATTATTATTTACCACGAATCCAAAAACCCAAGAATCGTTCCTTCCCAAAAACCATATAGAAGGATTTAAGAATGCATCAAAAAAGTGAATAATATAAGATGATGAATCATCACAACTGAATTATCCATGAATGCTTATTACGAATTACCTTTACTCTGGGCAATAAAGTAGTCCGCATAAAGTCGTACATAAAGTATGCTTTTATGAAATACTCGGCAATTAAAAATTCTGAATGTGACAGAATATTCTTTTACAAAATGAAATGATTGCTGGATCTATCAGTGTGAAATATTTTACTTTTCACCTATATGTTACTCGTAGTGTGCTGTCATTTTAACTGTTACCTGTTTCGTAATATAACTTCGTTTCAATGATTTTTATTATTTTTAGTCGTGGTTCATTTGTACGCATGTTATGTTGATTCTATATATATTATACTGGAAATCGTCTTCACTCCTGGTATGTATTTTGTGTTGTGATATCTCATTATGTTGTTTTGATGATACATATGATTTTGATTTATTTTTATTTATACATATTGTCCTACAACATGGTTTCTTTGTATCATGTGATATATTGAATAAAAATAAGGTAATTGATCAGTCTCTGAGCTAAAAAAATTTCAAAAAGGTCTGCAAAAAATGACAGGGGGTGAGGGTGGTTTCAAGCCTTCCACAATTTTTCTCAGATTCCTTCGATTACCAAAAGAGAAGTAATCCTCTGAAATACACTATAGCCAAATTTCATCAAATCCGTTTCACTCGTTTCTGAACAATGTAAAAAAATGTGTTTTTTCAGTGTGAACTTTGAACGCTTCTCACGGACAAACGGTACATTTTGGCACATAAATAAATTGGGTCCAATCAACTTATTTTGACCTCTTCCATACGTGCTAGCTCTGTGTCTCAGCTATTTTGGGACACCCTGTATTATTTCATCCTGTTTTCCGTCGAATTTGACCTACCTATGGCATAACGCACTCATGCTAATCCAACACACAGAGTTCGAAACAAGAAGCGTCGTTATACGGCGTCCCGACGCTGGACGCGTCCGCTTTTATTTCCGTCCGCGGCCGCAGATATACTGGCATACGGCGAGGCGTGTTGGCGATGCGTTATTTCGTACTTGTTACCTGTTACGATATGGCTTGCGCACTGGTGCCAATTATTTTCATGGATTTTTGTCTGGTCCTCTTCTAGCACCAAATATGAGGGTCTTCCTATTTTTTTGTCGTCAACAAACCAATTTATTCCTGTGACCTTTTTCTCTACCTTTTTCCCTGTGAATCGATCACACTTTTGCCAACTATTTCCATGCATTTCCGTATGGTCCTCTTCTAGCACCGAATTTGAGGGTCTTCCTATTTTTTGTCATCAAAAAAACAAATCAATTTCGGAGACCTTTCGCTCATCCTTACAACCTCTGAATCGATCACACTTTTGCCAATTATCTCCAGGGATTTCCGTATGGTCCTCTTCTAGCACCAAATATATTTTTTTCATGTTCTGGTAACCACAAAAAGGGATATCCTGTAATGTAGGGTGATTGACTATGGATTTCTCGACTTCAACAGCTGATATCTCAAAAACGAAAAAAGATATTTGAAATTTGGAAGAAGTTACTTGAATGAGATGTCATTTCCTTCTGGAAAATGTGTTCTCTGCTTGATTTTATCATTTCATATACAGGGTAGGTGTGAAAAAAATTTTTCTCCAAATGAAACCCCCTGTATATTATCGCATATTTCGAAAGAGCTATCTTTCCTGATATTGAAAATATATACTTTCCATGTATTCTAGCGAGAGCTTGACGAAATATCAGCAAAATTAAATATTAATATTTGGTCCAAGTTAGCTATGGTTGAAATAGAATGAGATGATGAATAAGTGAATTGACATTTGGTCAACATTTCAGTGACATGAGTGCGCAAAATTTCGACAATTTTTTCACGATGCCATATCCACTGGAACAAAGAAGAGATATTTTGGAGTGCTATTTTTCAGTTAATAAAAATCTTGCTGAAACACTTCATAAGTTTATGAGGAGTTATTCAGGCAGGAGATTACCAAGTAAGAATTATGTAAAGTATTTGGCTGCTAAATTTGACAGAACTTCCAGTTTGTCGAATATCAAGAGAATAGGGAGAAGGCAAGACAACGAAGACGAGGAACTTCTTGTAATCCAGTATTTTGTTGAGGATCCTTCACGGTCAATAAGAAATGCAGTGAGAGAGTTTGGTTTCAGCTATTATTTTGTTCAACATACCTTAAGGAAATATAAATATAGGGATTTCAGAATAAGACCATGCCACAAACTCAATTATGATGATAATGAGAAGCGGATTGAATTTTGTCTTGTCATATCTGAAAGATTAAATTTAAGTAAGTTTAAGTGTAAGTGTTTCAGCAAGATTGTTATTAACTGAAAAATAGCACTCCAGAATATCTCTTCTTTGTTCCAGTGGCATCGTGAGAAAATTGTCGATATTTTGCGCACTTATGTCACTGGAATTTTGGCCAAATGTCAATTCACTTATTCATCATCTCATTCTATTTCAACCATAGCTAACTTGGACCAAATATTAATATTTAATTTTGCTGATATTTCGTCAAGCACTCGATAGAATATATAAAAAGTATATATTTTCAAAATCAGGAAAGATAGCTCTTTCGAAATATGCGATAATATACAGGGGGTTCCATCCGAAAAAAAAATTTTTTTTCACGAACCCTGTATATGAAATGATAAAATCAAGCAGAAAACACATTTTCTAGAAGGAAATGACATCTCATTCAAGTACCTTTTTCCAAATTTCAAATATCTTTTTTCTTTTTTGAGATATCAGCTGTTGAAGTCGAGAAATCCATAGTCAATCACCCGTACAGAGAACATCGTGAGAAACAAGGGAAATTAGGTAGGAATTGGCGTTCTTCTTGGATTTCTGGAGGTTATATGCCTCGAGAAACACCTTCCTTGGCAATGTGTTCCATATCCTCGCTGGTCGTTGGATGAACAAGTCTTTGGAAAGAGAAGATCTCGCGGGGACTGCCAACAATTGTTGATATTTTTTGTCGTCAACAAACCAATTTATTCCTGAGACCTTGTTCTCTACCTTTCACCCTGTGAATCGATCTCATGTTTACCAATTATCTCCAAAAATTCCGTATGGTCCTCTTCTAGCATCGAATTTGAAGGCCTTGCTATTTTTTGTCATCAACAAACCATTGAATTCCTGAGACCTTTTGCCCCTTTGTCCATCCTGTGAATCGATCTCACATTTGCCAATTATCTCCCCTGTTTTTGGTATGGTCCTCTTTTACCATAAGATTTGAGAGTCCTATTTGCAGTAAACAAACCAAATTATCCGATGTCTGCTTCATATTGATAGCCATGTTAAAAACATGAATTCTTGTCTGGTCCTACTCTTTCGAATATGAGGGTCTTTTTATTTTTTGGCGTCAAAAAACCAGTTCATTCCTCACACCTTTTCCTCTACCTTCCACCATGTGAATTGGTCTCACTTTTGCCAATTATCTCCAAGAAATCCGTATTGGTTCTCTTCCAACCTATGAATCGATCTCACATTTGCCAATTATCACCACTGATTTTGGTATGGTCCTCCTATCACCTTGTCACGAAAGTGAGCAGTTTGTAATAAAACAATTACGAGAAACAGTCTCGCTACATGTACTTAAGCTGATTTACTATGGACTTGTACAATCCATTTTATCATACGGATTGCCTTTCTGGGGGAACTCGGCACATGCAATAAAAGTTTTTAATATTCAAAAAAAAGTGATAAGATGTCTAGCTGGTCTACATTACAAAGAATCATGTAAGAGTACATTCATCCAACTGGCCATACTGAGTTTACCTAGCCTCTACATTTATTCGATTACAATGCACATTAGAAAAAATGAAACACACCATACCAAAAATAATATGATCCACATCTACAATACTAGAAGAGGTAATGAACTAAGACTACCTTATTCTCGTTTGGCTCTGGGACAGGACTCTGCGAGTTATCAAGGTATCATTTGCTATAACCACGCACTCAAACTATTTGGAAACGCATGTAGCTTAGGAAGTTTCAAATCAGCTCTATACAATCATCTAGTCCAAAATGCATTCTACTCTGTTGGAGAATTTTTACAATCTAAATGAGTATTCAATATTAAAAAACTTTAATCCTTTAACTTCTATTTTGAAATGTTTGTGTCTGTTCAAATGTTTTTATTCCTGTTCTTGACTAGTCTGATAAAATTTTATAAATGTATGTAATACAGATGTAGAATTTTCAATGATGGATAAATTTCTATTCTATTCTATTCTATTTTATTCTATCATCAAATTCGTCCTATTTGTAGTCAAAGAACCAATTTATCCTATGACTGCTTCATATGATAGCAATGTTCAAAACTTGTCTCCCCCTGTGAATTAATCTCACTGTTGCCAATTATTTTCATGGGTTTTTGTCTGCTCATCTTCCTGCACCAGATATAAAGGTTTTTTCTATTTTTTGTCGTCAACAAATCAATTTATCCCTGATACCTTCTCCTCGTCTTTTCACCCTGTGAATCGATATCACTTTTGCCAATAATCTCTAGGAGTTTTTGTATGGTCCTCTTCCAGCACCGACTTTAAGGGCCTTGCTATGTTTTGTCATCAACAGAAAAATTCATTCCAGACATTGCTTGCTCATCTTTTCGTACTGTGAATCGGTCTCACATTTGCCAATAATCTTCACTGATTTTGGTATGATCCTCTTCTACCATCAAATTTGAGAGTCTTCTTTGCAGTTAGCAAACCGATTTATCCAATGTCTGCTTCATATTGATAGCCATGTTCAAAACATGTCTTCCTCTCACTGTTGCCAATTATTTTCATGGATTTTTGTCTGGTACTCTTCTAGCACCAAATTTAGGAAGCTTTCAATGTTATGTCGTCAACAAACCAATTTTAATCCTAAGACCTTTCCCTCATTCTCCCACCCTGTAAATCGATCACACATTTGCCAATTACCTTCAATGATTTTGGTATGATCCTCTTCTATCCTTGAAATTTTGAGTCTTATTTGCAGTAAACGAACCAATTTATCCAATGTCTGCTTCATTTTGATAGCCATGTTCAAAACATGTCTCCCTCTGTAATTCAATCTCACTGTTGCCAGTTATTTTAATGGATTCTGGTCTGGTCCTCTTCTAGCACCACATATATGGGTTTTTATAGTTTTTGTCGTCAACAAAGCAATTAATTCCTGTGCCATTTTCCTCACCCTTCCACCCTGTAAATTCATTTCACTATGGCCAATTATGGTCTTATGGTCACCAAATTCGAGGAGCTTTCAATTTTTCAACCAAATTAATTTTGGGACCTATTGTTCAACTTGATAACTGACCAAAAACTTATTTCTCCTGTAAATTAACCTATCTTTCGTCAGAAATCTCGAATCAATTAAACTTCGTAATATTTGAAATGAAACAATTTATTCATAGTAACTTCTGCTCATATGGATTGATATGAACTTTAGTAAGTTTGGAACTTGTCTTCTTCTGTAGAACAATCTCACTGTTGCCAAATGTTGTCATGGGTTTTCTTCAAGTACTTTTCTATTACAAAGAGGGCTTTAAATTTTTAGAACCAAGTTTTTCCTGGGACCTTTTGCTCAGCTTGATATCTGATCAGGAACTTTTTTTTCTATAAATCAGTCTCACCTTCGTCAATTACACATTTCGAATGAGGAGCCAAATTATTATTTTTAATGTTTACCTGTAAATCAAACTTGCAATTGCCTATTATTTTCTTGGAGTTCAAAAATCTACCTTTGAATGTAAAGCAAGTTCATTGTCGTTCCATAGTCGGAACATGTCTTCCTTCGAAAATCTATCTCACTGTTGCAAATCCTCTTCATGGATTTTTATATGTTCCTCTTCAACCAGCGGATTTGAGAAAATGAAATAACATAAAAATCGTGAGATGGACATCAAAGACCAACAGTGGGATGGAACCAAGTTATTTCTTGAAAAAGACCAATATCTGCAACGTTTATTCGTTGAAAAGTGTTAACAATTCCTTTTGTGTGTGAAACTGACATCTGGAAACAAGGTATACGTTAAATTTCCACAAAAATACAGGAAGCAAAGGATCTTATCT